CAGGGTCCTGCTTTTGCCTTTGCCACTGGGAGCTTAAGTCCATCTCCATCTATGGGAGAAGGTGGTACTATCTTCCTCACAGGATTGTGGGGACTGAATCGCTCATGTATATGGAAAAATCTTCATCCTGTGCTTGGCATCAACCAGTGCTAAGTTTGCTAATGGTGTCACAGGCAAGGTGGTCAAATCTATCAAAGTTTCTGCCTGTGGTATCAGGCTCAAAAAGCTGTTTCCCACCACCAGATTATAAATATATTGCTTCTGTTTTCTTCTAGTACTTATACAGGTTCTATTTTTTTTTTACATTTTGTAAATATGTTTAAGATGAGAATATAAATCTGCTATTATTTTCCCTCTCAAATAATTAGGTGGCTTTTCTATTCCCATTTTTCATTTTCTTCCACAGATTAGAATATTAAAATGTGACATTTCAAAAGTCTTAGGAACATATAGGTCTGAAGCCACTTGGTCTTTACACATCTCTGCTCTGCTCCATGATGTGTTCACCTAGGTATTTCTCTCTTGGGGAGGCACATTTTAAAAAATGGTTTACCATATTTTTAAGTTCTCAGGGGAGGGAACTGCCTTACTATTACCTCAAAGAAAAATAGTGACACAGCTCACAAAAGAACTAGGAACAGCATGGCTGGAAGACTCTGGGAAAGCTTCATGAAGAAAGATGAACCTGAGCTGGCTTTTGAGATATTCACCGGACTTCCCCAGGGAGAGCACAGTAAGGGAATTTTAGATGGGCAAAGGCATTTAAAAAAGTGGGAATGGGGCTGGTGTGTCTAGGTTATGGTGTGGGGTGGCTTTGGCTGGAATGGAGGGCTGTCATGACTGTTGAAAGGGTAAATAAAATATATTATGTTGGATTTATGGGGTAGAGTCAAGATTGTCAGCTTACTAAATCATTCTTTTAATGTCAGCAATCTGCCTGTAGGGAAAAGTACACCATTATGTAGTTGAACAAAAGGGACACAGACAAGCTCTAGGAACAACAGGTGACTCCAACATGACATGCTTTAGAGAAGCCTGATGCAGGATTTAGGTTGCAGTGTTTTAACTGAACCTACTAACACCATGCCTTACACACTGGAGAAGGAAGCTGCTAAGTATACCTTAAGAATTGACAAGATCACACTTTTATCATTATGCCATGTCCCATCAGCTAGGGTGACATAGCTCCATGAGGTTGGAGATTGTATATCTCTCCTCATTTTATCCAACAAAGAAAGAAATCAGGAAGAGAGTAATTGGTGAGTACATCAACTCAACCTCGTTCATTTTGAGTTGAAGAAATTGTGCTATCATATCAAATCTGGCCTATCAAACTTAAGTTTCAAAATAGTCTAGTGGCTGGTATGGCTCAGTTGATAGACCATTGGCCTGTGGACTGAAAGGTCCCAGGTTCAATTCCAGTAAGGGCACATGCCTGTGTTGCGGGCTTGCTCACAATAAGGGCCTTGCAGGAGGCAGCCCATCATTGATGTTTCTATCTCTCTCTCCCTCTCCCTTCCTCTCTGAAATCAATAAAAATATATATTTTCAAAATGGTCTAATGGCTTGTTATCTTGATTTCATTTTCAGAGATTTCTAGGAGTGGGCTTCCTTTAGACATCCCAAGAATATCATTTGTAATAAAAAAAAGAATAAAGCATATCTCAGTGCTCATGACTAAAGAAGAGTATCAAGTAGGAGTAGACAGGACAGTGGCTTTGATTTTCAGGTTGTGGGTTCTGAACCTCCTCAAAGATGGACTATATATTGGAAATCTGAATTAACTGTTGTCTTACCACAAGGAGACAGAAAACTACAAAATAAAACGCTGTTACTGCAATCACAGGTGATGCAATGATGATTTCCTTCTTATATCTTGGCACTTCTTGCCTGAGCTAGGAGGAGGAGGAGGAAGAGGAAGAGGAGGGAGAGGAAGAGGGGAAGGTGGAGAGGAAGGGGAGAAGAGGAGGAGGAGGGTAAGGAGGAGGAGGAGAATGAGGGGGAGGAGAGTAAGAAGAACAAGAACAAGAACACCAACAACAACATTAAAAAAAACCCACAAAGATATGGAAAGCATAAAAACTATTCTCTAGCCTATTCTAATGAATTGCTAGCTATTCTTAACTACTACTCTAAAACCCCACCTTTCCACATGGTTCTTAAGCAATATACCAAATCTTATAGGTTTTTAAAGAACATACCACATCTGATGTTATGTAATCTGATCATTAGCATTTTCTTGTACAATTTGTTTATTTTAGAATTTAGGTCCTCTTCTCATCTACCCTAGGAACAGTGCACAAATCTCAAAATGAGCAAAGTGGAAGATCACTGTCTAAGCCAAAGTCACTTGATCAAGACACGACTGAGAGGAGGTGCTCCTGGTCTTCCTACCTGGGTACTTTCATGGCATGTCCTAAATCAATGATGGCGAACCTTTTGAGCTCAACGTGTCAGCATTTTGAAAAACCCTAACTTAACTCTGGTGCCATGTCACATATAGAAATTTTTTGATATTTGCAACCATAGAAAAAAAAAGATTTATATTTTTGATATGTATTTTATATATTTAAATGCCATTCAACAAAGAAAAATCAACCAAAAAAATGAGTTTGTGTGTCACCTGTGACAGGCATGTCATAGGTTCTCCATCACTGTCCTAAACTGACTAAAAGTCCAGGTCAGGTGTTTCAGGACCTGTCCTTACCTCATTAGACACCCTCTCTTCCTGCTTCTTGAGGGTTTGCATCCTCTCATCTTTCCATTGTTCCTCATCCCACTCTGAGTTGGATATCTTTACTTCCTGCTCCTCAGTGAGCAGTCTCATCAGAAGGCCTATTCCAGAAAAGAGTTTCCTCGGTTAATTTTTGAAACTTGAATGGTTAAGTTCAGGTTTAAGAGAAGGATTTCATCTGTTGTTTTTCAAATGATTCAGGGACATATCTGCATCATGTACATTTGAAAGAGGCAGTTTAATGAATGGTAATAAAGTTGATTCTATATCTTCTAGATTTCCCTCCAAGAAATAAGGCAATTGTTAATTTAGTGCACTATTAACATCACTTTTATCGTTAAAGTCTAGCTGCTCACTCATAATGGATGCCGAAGTGTCCCTATTTTTGACTGAGGATGCCCTCTCTGGCTCAATGGTCAGCTCAGTGCTGGTGTCCTGCCGACCCTGTAATGTGTTCATTAGCGGTCCTTCTATTATGAGTTCTTCATCTGTCAAAAAAGAAGAAATCGCATTTGATATTGAAAGACTCACGGGACAGCTATTTGTCAGTCCACAGCCATACATCCCAGTCCAATATATAGAGAATCAGCAAGTATCTGAGTGCCATTTGGAGAGGAGAAATATAAACCCCAACTTACATCTATGATTGTCGACAAAACAAAAGGAGAAACTGTCTCTTTTTTTAAAGTGGTTAATTACTTAGAGCATTCCCTAGCATGACATATGGTGACTATATTTAGGATTATTCCATTGGTCCCCAAGGGCCAACTGCCGGTTACTGGAGGAAAGCCAGGGCTAGAAGACCCACTCAGTTAGACACTCTGCAGATCTACTGTGAACTCCTCACATTCACGCACCCATCCTGTCCTGCTTCAGATGCAGAGGGGCCCTGAGCCTTCCTCTCTCCACTCTTCAGGATGCTTGTGTTCTTGCTACCATCACAGATGACCACAATTAACACCCATGGCTAACACGTCCTCATCTGGACACACCCTTCTCCACTAACCCACCGATTCCTCACTTGGGCCCTGCCTTCACATATGGCAGCCCCATAACAGACGGCTCTATACAGAAAAAAACAATATGTCTACCCTCGCTCTGTGCTTAAGATTTAGGCAGGCATCTGGGATGTACATTAAGAGACTTGCCAGGTTGTGTACCACTGTGGAATGTTCAATAAATCTATGGAATAAGACTTGGGGTTCTAAAATACATAAGGGAAAAATAACTTTTGTCAGATGCCTACTTTGCTATCATTTCATGTCTTTTCTTATATTTTCAGCTGTATTTGGGGAACCATCCAAAGATTTCGACTGTGTGAAGGTCAAGTGTACCATTGTGCAGCTGGTACACAAGAATTTTCAGAAGAATTAACAGTATTGCTGGTGGTGATAAGGGTGAGAGAAGGAGGTAACGTCCTGGGAAAGAGCATGGGCTTGCGGAGAGCCCCAAACTGGGAGCTGGAGACCTGGGCACGAGGTGACAGCTGTCAGCCCTTTCTGGTCTTGTTTTCACTCTCCTTAAAAGGAGATGAAAATGCCTGTTCTGCCCACTGTTGGGGCAGAAGGGAGTAATATCATTGGTCAAAACATTGTTTTGAAAAATAAGCAACACTGACTCTATATCAGTAGCACAGATCACTCATAGAAACTTGTATTTAAGCTATGTGGGCATGAAAGCACATTTGGGAAGTTATCAAGTAGCTGCCAATAAACCTAACGTGTAGAAAAATACTTAAAAGCACACGACTGTTTGGTGGATAGAACACCTTGTGCTTCAGAGCAAGGTCAGAGTTGCACAGTCTAAAAAAAAAGAGCCCTCCCATGCCTTAGAAGGGCTGGGTAGCAGCTTCTGGTGATGGATCCAAAACTCTCAAGTTCCAAATAAAACTTACATGAAACAGCATCATTTGTACTCTTTTCATAAACTTGCAAAAACAAAATAAAAATGTATCAATATCTGTGTACACTGCAAAGGGCAATTGAAACCTAATGCATACAAAAGAGTTTACAAACTGTGACACACTAATGAACAAGTTCTCATTTGGAAGCAAAGCACCCAGCAGAGAGCACAACACACGAAATGTAGCCATTAATGGTAATACCCTTCCCTTCATCTGACTTTTAGCAAAGAGAAGTTCTTAAAATTTTAGAGTTGAACTCTGAGTAAATAAATAAAAATAATACAGTTACTTTATTTGCCTAAAAATGTATTGTCATTGATTACAAATAAAAAATGAAAACAAAATAAAAATTAAAAGGTTTATCATCAGGCAATTGAGTCTCACCACAAGGTGTGTCGGTCACACATTCCGTCTCGCAATTCAATGTACTGTCTTCGCAACAGCCTCAATATGATTTTTAAAT